GCAAGTCAGAAATGATTACAATGGGTACTCACTCACGCTCCTCCCCCTTGCAGTAGGCAAGCCCGAAAGACGGCATTGATTACTTCCCAAGGAAGGATGTACCACCCTTCACCCCTGCCTAAGTTAGCCTACTTGACGTACTCTTAGGCTTGGAAGACCTCTCGGTTTTTAGTACGTGTCTAGTAATTGCTGAAGGCTTATCAATTTGAGCTGATTCTAGCTTTTCCTCTCAGCTGTATGGATGTCGGATCTGTGTGTATTACTGGTAGAGCTAGTTCAGTCTTCATCTGCGCCCTTGTCTATGACCCTGGTCTTACCTTTCTATGCACTGTAGTGCTCTTTAGCCTTAGGCTGTGTTTTTAGGCTTCTATTTTTAACAAGTTGCTTATCTTTCCAATGCTAAAACCCTAAACCCTCATCCCTTATCTACTTATGGTGGGGGGAAATAGTCGTTTTTTATTTCTCCTAAAAGGCCTGATCCTAGTTTTGCAGTCAAGAATTTGTGAATTAATACGGTTTTTTCGTTGGGGGCACTATTTATTTGTTTCAGGGTTTTGGTCCAGAGAACATGTAGCTCTGTTTCTATTGTAAGCTTTACTGTGATGAGTGGGTTCTTGGGTGTGATAGGACTATCGCCAAAGGTTAGTTACACCTTCTTTTCCATAGGCCCCAGATGATTCCCTTCTTGATAAGTATGCAGAAGAAAGCTTCGAAGCCTTTGAGGGGCAGGTTCTGATCTGTGTCGAGAAAAATTGTGGTGGGGCTTATCGTGACGGGCTTGTTAGAGAAGGATTTCCATATGGTTTCCATCTCTTGCCATATGGTTCTGGCTTTTGGGCAATCGATGAAGCAGTGGTAAGTGTTTCCGGTCTCTGTTGGTTGCAGACTTTGCACCAAGAGTCTTGGTCTGTTCGGTTTGTCTTATTGCGCCTTTGTGCCAACCAGTGGTTGACTGGTACTGCCCTGTATGCAATTAACCAAAAAGTAAACTGGCTAGTTTGACCGGTTTAGTGCAGAAGATAGATAACCAGGGTATGGTCATTTGTGGGTCTGTTTTAGTGGGTTCTTCTTTTGTCCATCTTTTTTGTAGGATATTGGCTATTGAGATGGGTTTGGAAAAGAGATTGTAGCCTAGTCTGGGGGTGTAGTCAGTTATTTTGTGGAGCCGTGGTATAGTGGCTCCACGGATGGGGGTGCTCCAGGTCCATCCTGTCGGATCTATTCCGAGTTGTTGTATACTTGACTGTGGTTTGAAAACCCTGTTTCTTTCCCCCTCAATAACTCTTACTCTTCGCAGGGTGCTTGTTCTTAAGGTACCTTCTGCTCAGCAGTCTGTGCTAAGGAAACTTGCTGGGTTCCCTGGTTCCTTGAGAGCAAAAATGTCGCAACAGATCCAGTGGTTGTTTTGGTTTTCATAGTTTTTGAATCTGAGAACTTCCTGTACTTTTCCCGAGTCATTTATTGAGGCCAAGTCTCCGTATCGCCATCTCTGTTCCGATCTTAGTAGGCGTCTCCATTGCATGGGGATGCTTTCTATGATCTGATTAATGTTCGTTTGCAGGTGATGTAGACCCTTCAGGGTTGGCCTGAGTTCCTTCTCAGATTTCCATTCATTTGCTATCTCGTTCCAGATATGTTGGATCTGCCATACTCCTTTTCTACCCAATGTCCCCATTTGGCCTCTGATTTGGAGAGAAGCTTGTTCCTTTCTCGTTTTTGATCCAGGGGTTGCCAAAGAGGGGTTGTCTTAACTTCTTAAGACTTCTTCTCTCCTTTTGGGGCCCAATCTGATTTCTGGAAATATGTTTCTCCAGCTGTGTAGGATCTGGACCCAGTGGGATTTTGAAGGTTCCGGATCGTGGATATCTACCTGTATTGAATTGGGGGTGTGCTTTCTTTTGTCTATGGGGAGTGCCCAATGTTTGTTGAAGATCCAAAAGAGACCTGTCATGTTCTTGGGAGACTCGAAAGGGGATATTTCCCTGATGTGGTTCAGGGCTAAGTGTTACGACCGGGAGACTGAGGGAGACAGGGAGAGCCGAGGGAGAGGAGAGAGGGAGAGAGTGAGAGCACACACACACACTCACTCACTCACTGGACACGACTGAGGGTCGGAAGCAGACACACGGGCAAGGACACAAAGTCGAAGTCTTGGATTCCGAAGGCCGAACAGGAGCAAGTCACACTGAGTACGAGTACAGCAGCAGAAAACTGGTACGAGACTGGTCCCCGTACCGTACGGGGAGCTGGTATAAGTACCGGTGACACGTACAGTACCAGGGGCATTTCTGCAAAGGCCCCGAGGGCAGAACTGAAAAATGCAGTATTTGAAAGTGGCGCCCGAATTGCAGCATAGCGCCAGTTGTCCGAAATCCTACGGTACCAAAGGAGGAGTTTGGAAAAAGGGTGCCAGGCCAAAACGGGATGCAGCTGAAACAGCAAAAAGATAGACCAGGTATCGAGCCCTGGCGGAGTCCGTAACACTATCCCCTCCCTCTAGAAGGCAACGTCCCGGCTGCCAAAAATCATGAAGCAATGCTGAAATCTGTGAAGGACGGGACGGGGCCGATCACTGGTTAACAAGTCGAAAGGGAAGAGGGGTATAATGTGGGTGGCATGGGCTGCGGGAGTAAGAGGGAACAGGGTTTGGTACCGGTGMACAGAGTTGTCCTACTGATGAACTAGGGGGGGTTGCAAGGAACAGGGTAGTCCTACAAATGAAGTAAAGGGAAGATAGGGAGCAGGGTGGTCCTACTGATGAACTAAGGGGACTGCATKGTTCKCYATAGGTTAAGGGGGAACASAGTTCAGGGAACAGGGAACTTCTATTGATGTTCTACTGGGTAAGGGAAACGGYGTTCAGGAAAACAGGGTATTTYKATTGATGTTGTAGTGGGTAAGGGAAACAATGGTCAGGGGAACAGGGGATGTCTATTGATGTTCTAGTGGGTACGGGGAACAATGGTTAGGGAAACAGGGATCTGCTAATGATGTTCTACAGGGTTGTCAAAGTCAGGAAAAATAAAATGAAAATGTTTGTTCAGGATGCGAAGGCTGGTGTGTCCGAAGGAGTCGGAAGCAGAATCTCATGTAGGAACAAAGTGTCCGAGTGTCTTGAAAGGGGGTCTGCAGCGGTCTTGATCAGGTCTTTGGAGTAGGTGGTAGACGCGGTCTTCAGCAGCTGCGATAGGTAGAAGTCCAAGAAGCGTAGTAGTAGTTCAAGTGTCAAAGTCCAAGTGCTAGGGTGCGTCCGGTACACGAACTGCAATGAGGTCTGATCTGGAGGCAAGGAAGTCGCAGACTGATGCAAAGATCCATGTCACAAGTTGCTGCTCCAGTAAGTCCACGAGTAGGGATGCCGCCCAATGAAACAGCATGGTGGCCAAACCAGCTGCATAATCTCCATGAACAGTGAGGCAGCAGGCCATCGTCCTCGTGCGCTTGCCATTAGATCCTTTATTGCCGGCGTCACGCAAGTTCACAAGCATTGGACGAGAGAGACAAGGTAGTGGAGAGGACAGATGGGACAAGGCAAGGCGAGGGTAAGGCAGATCAGACATCAGGAATGAGGATCAAGGGAAGGGTGGTTCAAGGGTGTGTGTAGAGCAGGGTTGCAAGGGTTTAGCGGGGGTTTATGCCATACTGATAGAGGCTGTCTCTTATACACATCTAGATGTGTATAAGAGACAGGTACAATCTATTTGGAAACAGGGATTTGCTAATGATGTTCTACAGGGTTGTCAAAGTCAGGAAAAATAAAAATGAAAATGTTTGTTCAGGATGCGAAGGCTGGTGTGTCCGAAGGAGTCGGAAGCAGAATCTCATGTAGGAACAAAGTGTCCGAGTGTCTTGAAAGGGGGTCTGCAGCGGTCTTGATCAGGTCTTTGGAGTAGGTGGTAGACGCGGGAGCTGTCTCTTATACACATCTAGATGTGTATAAGAGACAGGGAAGGGTCTGAGTCACTTGTTCGAGAGTTTCTTGGACAAGCCTTGTTCGGGTTCAAAGCGTTTGGCAGAAAGCCAGACTTTGTCCCCTACTTTGAATGACACGCCACGTCTGTGTTTGTTAGTCTTGTTGGCATGTTGTTCTTGTGTTCTTTCAAGGGCTTCGGTTGCTTCTCTGAGGAGTCTGTTCATTGTTGCTATCCATTCATTGAGAGAGGGGCAAGGGGTGGAGGGGCTGAGCTGCGAGGGAAGCAAGAAATCAGAGGGCAAGCGGGGATGGTAGCCAAGGTCGAGGTAGAAAGGGGACATGCCAGTGGAGGGGCAGACAGCGTTGTTGTAGGCAATCTCGGCGGCTGTGAGCAACTGATCCCAATCGTGTTGGTGTGGATGACAGTACTTTCACAGGATTCTTTGGAGTGTRTYGTTCATCTTCTCTGTTTGTCCATCGGTCTGTGGGTGGAATGCAGTGCTATACTTGAGCGTGGTTCTGTAGGCCGTGAAGAGATGTTTCCAGAATTGTGAGAGGAAGCGAGGATCACGGTCACTGATGATGTTCTCGGGGAGGCCGTGATGGCGAGCAACATGGTCGAAGAAGAGTGTGGCGACGTCTTTGGCACTGTGCGAAGTCGTGCAAGGGACGAAGTGGGCACGTTTGGTCAAGCAACAGACAATGACGTAGATGCAATCATGCCCGCGGTCGGTCTTGGGGAGGCCGCACACGAAGTCCATGGAGATGGACTGCCACCGGTGAGTTGGGATGGGCAATGATTGGAGCTTGCCGGGTTTGGCCCGATTCGAGGGGTTGACAGCTTGACACGTGGGGCACGAGCGAATGTATGCCTTAACATCGGCGAGTAGGGAAGGCCAATACAAGTAGCGGGAGATGGTGTCGATGGAAATCGAGATGTCCTGCGGTCTTGGCGTCGTAGTGCTCGGCCAAGAGCTGAGTACGGAGGCCTCGTGCGTCGGGGATGCAAAGTCGGCGAGTGCCTTTGGTATCGATGTAGAGGAGATTGTTGTGGAGGGAGTAGTCGGGAACTGGGTCAAGATCGCGGAGCTTGTTGTAAACGGTGGCAAAGTCTGAGCAGGAGAGATAGCCTTGGGTGTATCGATGATGAAGCGATGGAAGGAGTTGAATATGAGTCATGGTGGCGTAGACTTTCTCGGGGGGTTTGTGGTCGGGTCGTCGAGAGAGGGCATCCGCAACGCGGTTGCTTTTGTCGGGGGTATGGCAAATGGTGAATGTGAATTGGGCAAGGAAGTCTAGCCAGCGGGCTTGGCGTGGAGTGATATCTTTCTTGGAGAGGATGGAGGACACGATGGTGTTGTCGGTGCGGATGGTGAAGTATTGCCCGTCGAGGTACGGGCGCTAGACTGTGAGGGCGTGAATCACGGCGAGGAGTTCCTTCTCGTTGGAGGGGTAATTCATCTCCGCGGGAAGGAGCTTCTTGCTTGCGAAGGCGATAGGGTATTCGCCAGGTGGAGCCTCGGGGTGAGTGGGCGAGTCCTTGATGGAGGGGGTCTCGRCGGTGTCGCGGGGGAAATGTTGGGACAGTWCGGCTCCGATGGCGAAGTCGGAGGCGTCRGTGGTGACATAGAAATGGCGAGTGGGGCGGCGATCTTGAGGACAGGGGCCGTGGTGATGGTTTGCTTGAGTAAGTCGTAGGCGTGTTGGCGACAATCGTTCCAATGGAAGGGCTCGTCCTTGCGGGTGAGATCGTGGAGAGGGTAAGAGATCTCRGAAAAGTTGCGAATGAACGGGCGGTAATAGTTGGCAAGGCCGAGGAAGGAACGGAGTTGGAGGAGGGTCTTGGGTGGGGGGTACTTGACGAGGGTTGTGACCTTCGAGGGGTCCATACGGATGCCTTCAGCGGAGACAATATGGCCGAGGTATTCAACGCTCGAAGCGGCAAACGTACATTTGTTGAGCTTGGCGTAGAATTTTTGCTCTCGGAGGATCGCGAGGATTTGGTGGAGGTGCTGAAGGTGGGACTCGAAGGTGGGGCTGAAGACAAGGATGTCATCAAGGTAGACAACGACACAGACTTCGAGGAGGTTGCGGAAGATGTGGTTCATGGTGGATTGGAAGGTAGCGGGGGCATTGGTGAGTCCGAATGGCATCACGAGGAACTCGTAGTGCCCGAACCGGGAGCGGAAGGCGGTCTTGTGGGTGTCCTCCTCGCGGATACGGATCTGGTGGAAGCCACTACGAAGGTCGATCTTGGTAAAGTACTTGGCTCCACGGAGACGGTCAAGGAGCTCGGAAATCCGAGGTAGGGGGTACTTGTTCTTGATCGTGATCCGGTTCAAGGCGCGGTAGTCTGTGCACATGCGGAGCTTCGAAGTTCCACCTTTCTTGACAAAAAGGCAGCTGGTTCCGAAGGGGGATGAATTTGGCTTAATGAACCCTTTTTCAAGGAGTTCACCGAGTTGCCGCTTCATTTCTTCGGCTTCGGGGGCAGAGAGTTTGTATGGAGGGTGACAAGGTGGAGAATGTCCGGATTCCAAGTCGATGGTATGCGATACGCCACGATCCGGAGGTAGTCCGGCGGGTAAGGACTCGGGAAAGACGTCCCTGAACTCGTCGAGGATTGAAGTGATGGCGGGATTGGAAGGGGGGGCTTGATCGGGTTTGTCCGTCGGTCCTTGGGACTTTCGTGATCGAAGACAAGACAGTAGTAGGCGGAGTCGGGGCTTAGGCGAGCAATGTGGAGGAATTGGTGCGGGGTGAAAGAGCCTTGGGAGGGCGGATATGGGAGATAGGGGATGTCGATGGTTGTGTCGGGGGGGTTGGTGAGGCGAAGGAAGTTGGGGTGGAATGCGTATGGCATGTAGCGGTCCAGCCACGGGGTTCCTAAGACGATGTGGCACATCAAGTGCATGACATCAAACGAGACCTGACTTCGGAGGGTTCCGACGGTCATGGTGGTCTCAGGAACCGTGCTGTCTACTACGACGGCAGTGTCTTTGTCCCCTAGGCGAATCGTGATCGGGGAGTCATAGCCGGTAGAGGGGAGACCGGCTTTGCGGACACAGGCGTCAGTGATGAAGTTACCGGTGGCTCCAATGTCGAGCACGGCCCGAAACTTAGTTGTAGACGCACCGAGGGTGGCAGTGATGAATTTGAGGTGGAAACGGGATGAGTTGGTGGTGGAGATGATGGTGTTGAGGCGGCATTGTTCGTTGCCTAAGCGCACAAGCTGATCGTGTCGGGCTTGTTCCTCAACAACATCGGAGAAGGTGATAGTGGATGGATTTGGAAGAAGGGTAGAGCATGAGGCAGTGGGAGGCGTTTGCAAAGCCTGGGAGTTGTCCGGTGGAGGGGGCGTCGCCGGAGAGGGGGGAGGCAAACGAATTGTCGATGCCAGATGGGCCATCGGTGGGATGGAGGACGTCACCGATGGTTGGGCCGACACACGCAATGACGATGTCGGGTCAATGTCCTGGGAACTGTGTTCATGATGAGGAGGGGCCCGCRCTTGCCGAGGGCGGTGATGCGGAGGTTGCGGGTCGAGTGGAGGTGGACTGGCGGGTGAATCGTGCGGCATTGGGGCAGTTGGTTTGTTGATGCCCCAATTGGCGACAACGGAAGCAACCCCCTTTTGCTTGGAGGTAGGTGCGCTCCTCGGGGGTGAGTTTCCTGAGGCGGGTGGGTGGGGT